CATATATTTGCCATTTCTTTTGTTTTGACTCTGTCCCAGAGTCGTGACTAACAAACCTCAAGGATGCCAAAGGATGTCGTGATCCATAGCTCACAACCGTGTTTAGTCTCATGAGTCACTGCAAGAACAAACAGACAGAAAAGAGATGTTTCAGCTGAGAAATTCAGCTCTTTAAAGTTGTTCTTCATGTTCTCATCAAGGACCTTGACCATACTGATTAGATTAGATGACTTGAACAAATTGTTCAGTCATGAACACTGAAAGTGTTCAGATTGCAAAACATAGAAAGCAGAGCCGTTTTCTGCTCAAAAAAAAAGGAGCATCTCTTTTACTTCTGTTGAGCACATTGTGTTCTCAGTGAGCTCCTAAACGTGCAGCGAGTGTGAAAGAGGAGGAAACAGTGGTTCATTGAGTTGTTGAATTAGAGCAGGGGTCTCCAATCCTCCTTCTGGAGGGCCACCTTTCAGCAGAGTTTAGCTCTGGCCTCAATTAAACAAAGCTAATTAAGGTCTTCAGAATCACTAAAGGTGTGATAAAGCTAAACTCTGCAGGAAGGTGGCCCTTCAGGAGTAGGACTGGACACCCCTGAATTAAAGGTACCCCTCACCACCATCATGACATTATTAACCAGGATTTGACAACTAAGGAAGACAGCTATAAATAATAGGCAAACAATTGCCTGTAGAAACAAATAAAAATGACATAAAATATTTTACTGTAGCTTGATAATGGAAGCCTTGTGAAAATCAGATGGAATATGATTTTATATTGGATTTGGTTAATCCAGGGGGTGTCAAACTTAACATCTGGAGGGCCATACTCCCAATTTGACACACATTATCCAGCTCATTCAGTCCTTCAGGATTACTATAAGACTACAGGTAGATGGATTTAAGCAATGTTGGAACTATACTCCTCAGGACTGTTGCCCTTCAGGATCTTGAGTTTAACACCACTGGTTTAGTCCAATATAAATTACATTAGTGATACCCCACTAATAGAAATTCCTTTGCTTTGGATGTTTAAAGACATGACAATAGAGGAAGTGAGAGAATATGAACGAGCCACTCAGGAAGCCACCAATAAGAAGCTGGGAACCTTTCCGCCAGCTATTTCCATCAGCGAGACACCCCTGCCAGCCTGCGCTCGTAGCGGCCCATCCAGTGCTCCCTCTACACCCCTCTCCACTGAAGCTCCAGACTTCCTTTCTGTGCCCAAGGACAGACCACGGAAGAAGTCCGCTCCGGAGACCCTAACTCTTCCTGACCCAGCACGGAGAGACTCTGCCTTCCGCCTTCCCAGTCTCTTTTCCTGGGGTCCCAGCACCCCGCAACCTGAGTAAAGCTCAGTTCTGGCCTTAGTTTATGAAAACATACCCCAGTAATTTGTTTGTTTGACACAATCAAATCAGTCTCTCTTTAAATACTAAAAGATACTTACAGTTTCCCAAACACACACAGACATACACACACAGAGTGGCTTTTCAACCTGTCCAACCTCATGTTTTACACTGGGAGTTAATTTACAATAAGTGCATTCTGACATACAAAAACATTACAGATCATTGTTACAAATATCTCAGGAGTTGTCACATTGATAGACAGAGCTGAATCTTTTTCTTTCTTTCTTTTTCTTACTTTTTTTTTTTGTTTCTTTTTTTCCGAGCCAATTTTTCCTACATATGTTGAATTTGGATAGGATTTGTAGCCAGTGTTGTTTTGCTGTAGTGGGGTATTTAATGGTATATTCTGCTCGGTTAATATTTCAGTTGTGATATTATGTTAACGTGACTTTATCCTCAGGCTTCTGAATTTCTCACTCAAATTAATCAGTGTTTGACATGTACTGTAAATATCTAATTTATAAGAATGTAGGGTTCAATTTGATAGTGGTTTCACTATGCTCTTGTCTTTAACTTTGATCAGTCCCATTCCCATGGACTCAGAAAACCAAGTTATACCAATTTTACTGACCTAGCACTTTTGCATGGTCTGTTGTTAGACAATACAAACTGGAACTTATACATACTGTAGTTTATCTTCATAATATATTTGATGGGTTGTGGAGCATCTGCCATGTAACTGAGTATGCTGTTCTACATTATATGTTCTTGGTTGGGATTAATGTGATGCATTATTATCCATGAATATGAATTAAGTCCTCAAAGAATGCTTGATAATTAGACTGTTGTATAATCTTTGAGCTCTAAGGAATGTTTGCTGCTGCTGGCCAATGTATACTTTGTAAATTGTAAAGCTCTTGTATTCTTGCTGGTTCCCGCATATCTGTTCTTTTAAACTTAAATACTCTTTTCTAAAGGATTCAGAAATGCACATGCCAAATCTTGGGAAATCATGCTTTTGATGTCAACTGCCATTGTGAAATTAAAGCATTTGCTATCCATTGGGATTTCTACTTCATTCCAGTTTCACCAAACCTGTCATGTCTTTCCCATTTATGTTGCAAAATATGCTGTGTGTGGTAAATCTATGCTTACCAGAAATGTTAAGTGTGAAGTGTTATACATCAAAGTGATGGATTATAGCAGCTTTCATATCTTTAATAGTTAAGATGCAATGGCTTTTCCTCTCATTCTAAAGGTCTTCTTTACCATCCTTACTGGTGCAACCCTATTTTGAATTTTGAGCCCAAAAATATTAAGATATTTTAAAGAATGTTGGTAATCCAACACTTTCGGTTCCTATTGATTTTCATTGTATGGACCAAAATACAATGGAAGGCAATGGGAACTGAAACTTTGGTTACCAACATTCTTCAAAATATCGTTTTCTGTGTTCCACAGAACAAATACATGCATGCAGGTTTGGGACAACATGAGGGTGAGTAAGTGATGATAGAATTGTCTTTTTTTTTTGGTGAACTTTAATTCTAAAAATCATGAAGGTTAGTATAGGTCTGTTACGTTAATTAATTGTCTAATATTGTCTGAAGCTGATTGCTGTACTTGACATTTTAAAGCATCACCACATCAAGAAATATATTATTTTGGGACTTTATTTCAGGACTGTGTTGTCAGGGTAGCAAACTCAGAGTAATAGATTTCACAAGCACGTGATGCATAAGATGGCAATAAAAAGGAAATATTGCAAATATTTAAATAAATAAAAACCTGTCTTCGATCAGTTTCTTTCCATTGTTGGTAAATGTTGCCTCCACACCAGTGGCGTCATTTGCACGCGTTCTATACACATATTTCTCATGTCTGTGAGGCACGAGTTCGGTTCATTTTTGACGCGTTCAAGTTTGGTTTCATTATTTTACAGCGCACAACGTTTTGTTGTTATTGTGAGCAGTGTTGGGAGTAACGCATTACAAGTAACACGAGTTACGTAATCAGATTACTTTTTT